GGATGAGCGAAAATCTTTCGAGCTTTTTCTAGCCTAGTAAAAGCTTAGGTTGTTCCAAAAAATGGAAATGAAAATAAAAAGTCTTTCTAACTCTCGTCTTTGAAAAGCACTTTTTGCTATCAAAGAGCAGAGCTACTAAGCAGAACTGACATTCCAAATGGTTGTGGCAATAATAGCCCAGGAAATAAAATAAGGTAGAAATTTCTTTTTGGATTCCATTAAGTTGGAATTTATTCCTATATCGAGCAAGACTAGACATAAGTCTACTTTTAGAAGGGATTGGCTACCAAAAAATGCAACAAAACAGACAAAATGTTATCATAGATGGCTCCTGTCAATTTAGGTTCTTTTTCAACTGTCTTGAGCAAAAACATTTGCAAACAATTAATATAAACATTAAGTAAACAAAAAATAGCAAATGTTGTTCACCTATTCATTAAAATGTCAGAATGCTCTCCAGCAAGAGCTTGATATTTTCATTTTTGTTAATATCCATATAGGTACCAATTATTTTAAAGACAGTATTACAGAGAAGGGATTCGTATCAACGACTTGGAGAGAATGTACTTGGTGCCAATCTATATAAGAATGGCTGACTTTTATTGAATGTTTAATATGTGCCAGCATGTACCTGCATTATGAAATTTAACTATCACAACAAATGTAGTAGTTGGGTACTTCCCTATTATGTTTTATAGATTAAGATACCATAGCTTAAGAAGTTAAAAGCAACTTACCCAAGGCCAAATGGCTAATATATGGTCCAGACAGGTCTGTCTGACACCGAATCATGTGTTTTTAACTCTTACGACATATCGCTTCTCTATTTCTGCTAACAAAATTATGTCTATGTATAACCTCTAGCACAGCAGCATTAAGACATTAATAAACTCTATTATAAAAAGAAATTCTGTATGATGTACATACTCAAATACAACCTGGTTGTGTGTTGGTCAGACCTTTTAAAACTATGTTGTTTTGTTAATTATCAGGGATTTATCCATGTGTGTGTGGTAGGGTGCAAAGCACTAAAGTCAAGAAGGACATCGGTGGAGGAACTAAAGGGTGATGATGTGAAAGTGGACAATGCAGGAGGGAAGGCTCACTTTCGAGTTGTTAAAGTAAAAAGCAAAAGTTCAGTTCCACAACTATTAGCCTTCTACGACCCTATCACTACTTTGGGCCATTCCTTGTTCTATGGAGAAGTAATTGATGACTACATTCCTAAAGAAATTACATTGAAATCCTAAAAGTTTGCTCTTATTTCAAAATCAAATTAGAAAACCTGCTTTGTGAGAATAGAAATAAATAAAAATGCATTTCCTTAACATAGTGTAAATTCAGATATCACCAATTCAGATTATCATTCCCTCAATAATTATGAGCTAAATAAACTTTTATGTTGTTCCTAAGTAGAGTCTGATTCTAAATTTCTTTGGCATAGCAAACCACTGTTGAACTGTACATTAAAAACTCCACTTGGGCTTTTATAAAATAGGCTGTAGAAACCTCAAAGGACCCACTATTGGCTTTGCTGTCAATAATTCATGGATTAAAGTTTACCCATAGGCTTTGATTTGATAGACTGCAAGATACAAATGACCTAAAAAGTGTGCATTGATGCATTAAAAGAAAATTCAGTCTTTGTCGGATCATTTTTACACTTTCTGTTTTTAAAATTTAAGAACTTTTTCCCAGTTAAGAGACAAATTGGCTCCTTCTTCTTCCTCAAGATCTTCTCACACCCCTTTAAAAAGATAAAAACTAAAGAGAGGGGTGGAAGGAGAGAGAGGAGAGAGAGAGAGAGAGAGGGAGAGAGACAGAGACAGAGAGAGAGAGGAGAGAACTGATGAAAACAATAGCTAGGACTATATATCACTGGCCAAAGCATAGAGGGATTAGTGTGTGAAAACCTATGCCCATCCTAAGGAGAACATTTAGGGCTGTATGGGATTTTATTCTTAATTCTTAATGTTAGGTCATTTGCCAGGCTAAACTATCTGAGTAATGGATATGCTCCATCTGGAAACCTAAATCTGGAGCTTCATAGGAAAATAAGAGCCAAGGGACACTGGGACACTGTATATGTTAAGAGAAGTCATCCAGTGTGACTCTTTCATCAAATATGTATTTGACTAGATGCCCAGCAACCAGGTGGGAAACTGAATAAAGACAGAAGAAGCAAATATAAAGCAGGGACCCTTCCTTAGAGGAATTCAAGTCTGGCTGAGGGGATAAGATATATAAAAATATAACTCAGTTAAGTGATTATGTGTTATGGACCGAATTGTGTCCCCTCAAAATCCCTATGTTGAGACTCTGACCCCAAACATGACTGTATTTGGTGATATGGCTTTTAGGAGATAATTAAGATTAAATGAGGTCATAAGTGTGGTGATACACCTGGTGGCTTATAAGAAGATAGAGAGGGAGAGTCCTCCTCTTTCTCTCTCTCTCTCCACGCACACACACCACGGTGATGTGAGCACACAGCAAGAAAGTGGCCACAGCAAGACAGGAAAAGAGCTCTCACAGGAACCAAATCTGGGTCTTCTTAGCCTCTAGAACTGTGAGCAACAAATGTCTGTTGTTTAAGCCACCCAGTCTATGGAATTTTGTTATGGCAGCGCAATCTGACTAATACGTTACATCAGGCAGGAAAGGACTTTTGACCCAAATAAATGTCACAGACAACTCAGAACAAAACATCCCTGGGGCAGTCAGGGAAGGCGTTACGGAAGAGGTAGGTCTTGAGCATTTCTTCTTCAAGGAGCAAAGCAAGGACTTGGATAAATCCAAACTGGATAGTGTGAACACAAGAACAGAGAGGTGGGCTGAGCATGGATGTTCTGAGCACAGCCTGACTAAAGCAGAGGTTCATGTAGAGAGACAAAGGGAGATGGAGTCACATGGAGTAGATTGGACCCAGAGATGGCATTATCAATACCAGGCTAGGGAATCTGGAAGAAGCAGTAAAACAAGCTAAAAGTTTAGCAACGTGTATGGGGCGCTGGTGTGCTGAGGGCCTGGAGAAGGCGTGATGTGGAGCAGGGAGACTAATGTGAACATTTTGCTTTAGTTTAATCAAGAGATAAGGAAAAGTTTGCCTCTGATGGTGACAACTGATTAGGGGTTTTGTCATCTCATCAATCAGGAAAGAGAAAATAAAATTATTACGTTTTCACGGCACCAAGTTCTGAGGGGTCTAAGATGGTTCCCAGCTGAAGGGAAGTTGTAGCAACAGCAAAGATCAAAGGCACAGCCTGAGGAGCTCTGAAGGAAAGCACAGGGCCACACACGAAGTCACATTTGGAATTTACTGTTGAACAGTGATTTTTATCCTCTCTCGGGACTTCAATTAACTCTTACAGATGCTAATAACTTGCAAATTTGTTCTCTAATCTAGACCTACATCTTTAGCTGCTTCAAAGGTGTTTTTATGGCGCCTTACTGAATGCCCCATGAGTACTTACTGTATTAGTTAGGGTTGTCCAGAGACACAGAACCAATAGGAATATATATGAAGAGATTTATTATAAGAAATTGGCTCATGCAGCAAGGAGGCTGAAAGATCCCAAGATCCGTAATCTGAAGGCCTGGGAACCAGGAAAGCCAACGGTGTACGTTTCCATCTGAGCCTGAAGATGGAAGACCGATGTCCTAAGGCCATCAAGCAGACAGTGAATCCTCTCTGGCTCTGCATTGGTTCTATTCAAGCCTTCAGTGGATTGGATGAGGCCCGTCCATACTGGGGAGGGCAATCTGCTTTATTCATTCTACTGATTAAGGTTTATATCATTCAGAAACACCCTTGGGGACACACTCAAAATAATGTTTAACCAAATACCTGGGCACCCTGTAGCCCAAACAAGTTGACACATAAAATTAATCCTCATAAGTACCTCAAAGTAAAACATTCCCAAACTGAAATCATCTTCTCCATTCCTATCTCCGCTAACAGAGCCTCTGTTAACCCAGCAGCCCAAGCTTCTTCTGCTTCCTCTCTCCACCCCGTTATCAAGGGGTCAAGAAAGATAAGTATCCCAGAAATCTGCCCCCTCTCTTCTGTATAATGTTCCAGTCCCTTTGTTCAGATCTCCATCTTCAATGGCATGGATTATCGCAAAAACTAACATCCCGCTCTTCCTGCTTGTAATCTGGCCCACTTTACAACTTTCTCCACTTCTATAGACTTATTCTTCTAAAACGCAATTCTGATCATGATATTTCTGTTTAAAATAGTCTTTGATACCTCATTATTTGCAAAGTAAGTCCAAACTCCTTAGCATGACATTATTCAAATCTGGGTTTTGACTATATTTACAGCGACATATCTCACCATTCCTCCTAGTACATCATCTTATCCTACAGTTGAATAAAAACTTTCTAAATCTATGAATACACATGCTATGGGCTGACTGTGTCACCCCAAAATTCATATGTTGAAGTCCTAACCCCTGGTACCTCAGAATGTGACTGTATTTGGAAACAGGAACTTTAAAGAGATAATTAAGTTAAAATGAGATAATTAAGTTAAAATGAGATAATTAGGATGGGCCCTAATCCAACATGACTGGTATCCTTAATAGAAGAGAAAATTAGGACACAGGCAAATACAGAGTGAAGACCACATGGAGACACAGTGAGAAGACCACTATCTACGATTGGAAAATTGGCTTCATTAGAAACTGACCCTGCTAATACTTTGATCTCCAGAATTGTGAGAAAATACATTCCCACTGTCTGTGGTACTTTGATATAGTAGCCATAGCAAACTAGCACAAAATCACATTCATTTAAGTGCCCAGCACAATATTTCCTTATGTTCTCTTCTGCCTACCTAAGATGCCTTTCCTATGCTGTCTGCCTGGTAAAATTCCACTGATCCTTTATGATTGAGCTCAATTTCACCTGAGAAATGCCCTCTTTGTCCCCTCTAAGTACTTTATATACCTTATTCTTTTGGTATATGTAACATCATGTTTTAATTGTCTTGTTAGAATGACGTGAATTTAATTGGAAGGGTGTTTTGGACTCAACAGTTTAATATGGAGGTCTGGCATTATAGCAATTCCAGGACAAGGTAAGATACTTGCCTGTATTTTTGTTTCTATTAAACAGAACCACCTGGTAATAACCTCTAGACCTTTGTCTCAGATGGCTTTTTCCCATTCTTCTAGTGGATATAGAAGATGAATAATTCTGGGTATTCATCTGCTGATCTATTAATGCTGGATAAGAGGGAGAAACCAAATACCAAGGTGTTTTTACAAAACTTAAGTGATGCAAGTTGAAGTGTCACAAGAAGATGAAAAATAAACTCCCAGGCCAAGGAAAAAGCATTTTATAGTGGTTGGATTAATTTAACCTCTTCTGATAATACATCCTCAACCCACTTCAACTCCATATCATAAAATAATGATTAATTTAGGACAGGGGTTGGAAAATGTTACCTGTAGCACCAGACAGTATACATTTTTAGCTGTTTGGCACATATGTCTCTTTTACAACTATTCAAATCTGCCATTGTAGCACAAAAGCTGCCACGGGCAGTATGTAAATAAGTGTTCCAATAAAACTTTATTTACAAAACCGGGTGTTGGGCTAGATTTGTCCTGCAAGCCTAGTTCTGCTAACCTCTTACTTGGAGAACGGGGGGGAAAGTAAAAGGACATTCCTTTTACTTGGCAAAGGGCTTTGAAAACCAGCCCAGGGAATTTAGGTTAGCTGTGCTCAAGTTAACCCTTGGCAATATACTAAACATTAACCTATAGGTATTTGAAATTATCAGAAGAGTTTCATAGAGAATTTCTATGGAAGAACAGAAAGGTAAGTGCTAGACTTAAATTTTGGAATATTTCGCTGAAGAAAGGTGAGGAAGACTAAATGGAAGAAAAAAATAGAGGTCAGTTAGATGAGAGGAATATGCTGAAAAGGAAATTTTCTTTTTAATCGTAGATCCCTCTGCCAAGTAATTCTTCTCTACCTGTTAATTTCTATCATTCATGTCTCCAAATCATGGACCTTGTGCTCCAACCCTTTACACAATTTGCTCACAGTTACTTTTTCACAGGGAAGGAATGCCCTTTCAACTCCAGCAGTAGCCTCTGTGCTTCCCAAAGTGTGTATTCATGGAAGTAAAAAGCAATGATAAGTTCCAACCCCTTCCCTTGATCTTTACTAATGAATCCCAAATTTTCTCAGGGTAGCAATGTGCCTGGCTAAGAATTTTGATTCCTAAGCTACCTTGTGATTAGAGTCCACATGAACTTTTCTGGGCAGTGTCATAAAATCTGAAGAAGCTGAATGGGCATTCTGGAACGCATTGTAAAGATGTCATTTTGCCTTCTGCTCACCCATCTCCTCCTCTTCTTCCTTCTTGGAGTAAGGATGAGATGCCTAGAGATGTAGCATCCATCTTGCATCAGTAAGAATGAAAAACACCTGCTAAGAGCGATAGAGCAGGAAGTTAACATGAGTCTGGGTCTAGATGACACCCTTGATCGGCAGCACCTGCCTTGGGCTGCCTGATTCTGAATTTCTTATTACATGAGAAGAAATAAAATTATCTCTGTTTAAGCCCATCATAATTGGACTTGGTATTTTTCTTCTGCCTACATTGCAAACTAATAAAATGAATGAGAAAATCCATGGTTGTGGTAAATAGGAGAACAACGCACGCTTATTTTACAGTTCTTTAGGTCGGATCTGACCCAGGTCCCACCAGGCTAAAATCAAGGTGTTGGCAGCGCTGTGTTCCTTCATGGAAGCTCTAGGGAGGAATCCTTTCTAGAAATCCAGCTTCTAGAGGCCACACTTATTCCTTGGCTCATGGCTCCCTTCCTCCATCGTCAAAGTTACTCTTCATTAGTTACATCTCTCTCTGACTCCAGCCAGGAAAAGTTCTCTGCCAAAAAGACTCACATGATCAGACTGGGCCCGGGTAATCCAAGATGGTCTCCCCATATCTGGACTTTTAACTTAATCACATATGCAATGTCCCTTTTGCCATATAATGTAAATATTGCCAAGTCCTGGGGATTAAGATTTAGATATCTTTGGGTAACTATTATTCTGTCTACCACAATAACATAAAGAAAACCATTTAAATTGTGACTTACACGACCTTATATCCTGGTACAACTCAGTTTCTTGTATAGAGTTAAGCAATAGTAGGAGGATAATGAAAAAATAACTATCTTACCAGACATGGAAAATATTATAACATTTTTTAAAATCCCATACTCAAGTAGCATTATTATATCAGCAATAATCTACCTTTCCAGGATGGATAATGAGCCTGAACTTCCCTTATTGGGAAAGCTAAAAATTGAATTAGGTAGAAATAATGAAAAATTTATATTATTCACACATGGGTTGTTGCAATTTTTCACCAGGACAGATTATGGAGGTAGAAAATTTTATAGAACAAATGAAAGCTTCTCAGGAGAAAAAGTAGTTTCAAAAATCAGGAAGTGAAAATTTATACTAAAACATATAGTAATAAACATTTTAAAATGTTTTACAACTATAATGTGAGTTTTCACATACCATCCCACTTAATCCTACATTTTTCCTAGTGTCAAGGTACATTAAAAAGCCATCTTTAGGGTCTGGCCCTGTGGCCAAGTGGTTAAGTTTGTGCGCTCCACTTTGGCAGCTGGGGATTTGACAGTTCAGATTCTGGGCACAGACCTGTACACACTCATCAAGCCATGCTATGGCAGCATCCTACATGGAAAAACTAGAATGACTTACAACTAGGATGTGCAAGTATGTACTGGGGCTTTGGAGAGAAAAAAAAGAAGGAAAAAAGAGGAATATTGGCAACAGATGTTACCTCGGGGCCAATCTTCCTCACATACACACACACACACAAAACATGAAAGTCTTGGTAACTCTAACACTTTGGGTTGGCACCCTAAGGGGCTGCAATTTTGGAACAGAGTGAACTGGAAATAGAACTAGATTGGCTTTCACAGAGACTTAAAAAGAAAAAGCTTCAAATATTCTCAATTCCTGGCAGTTGATTAAAGTACACTCAAGTTGCTGGTGTCCCCAGACACTTAGCTGAAGTAAAGATGAGTCCTCTATGCAGGAATATAACATTACTCTACTCCTCAAATCATTTCTACAAATAAATTTCCAAATATAACGTCAGTTACAATGATCAAGCCTACAGGAGATAAGACTGCATCAGTGACTCAATACATATCCTAATACAAATCACTATATATGAGAAAACTAAGGTTCAGCAACTTGCCTGATGTCTCACACTAGTAAGTGACAAAGCCAGGAGTCAGAGGGAGGGAATGTGACTGCCAGAGTCTATGTTTTAACCACTAGAGAATGCTGCCTCTTAATCAAAATGTGTAGGTGAGAAACCAAGAAGAAGGAGCTAAGTGTGTTATCTGGTTCTGGAATCAGTTTGCTTGGGCTGGGATTCAGGCTCCATGACCTTGTGCAGTGTACTTCATGCCTCCTTTTGTCTGCAAAATGTGCATGTTGATAGCAGCTACCTCACATTAATTCTGTAAGAATTCATGAAAATGGTATATACGGTTTTTGGCAAGTAGTAAGATGCTGAGAGATAACTATTATTTTATCATTATGTGCCCAAAACATAGGTTGTGGTATTTAGAATTTGTTTTGAAAGAAGGGAGCCATCATATCTAATATACAATATTTAAAAAATTAAAAATGAGGTAGTCCCGGAAAATATTTCTTCTCCATTCTTCTACAGAAAGGAAAAGAAGAATGAAAATGTTGAAAAGAACTAATTTGTCAAGAAAGATTAAAGAATACCAGCTATATTCACAGTTAGCTCACTTAATGTTCACTTCAACTCCACAAGAAAAGTGTTCGTATTCCCATACTACAGTCAGGAAAACTGAGTCTTGTTGATTATTCATAATCACAGAGTCAGTAAATGGTAAAACCAGGAGGAAAACATATCTCCCTGACATCATGGCTCTTATTTTTTTTTTTTTTAAAAAAAAGACTACATGAATGACATTAAAGGAAGCAACTGACAAAATAAACAGAACAGGGGCTCTAGATGTTGAAATTATAACTCACGTATTTTAATATAAGAAGTTAAGTTGAAAATTTTGAAAGAAAATTAGTAATAATATGAAAGGATTTAGATGTGAAAGAAAATAGAACTTCTAGAACTGAAAATATACCAGATACAAAATTAAGAATCCAATGAATAAATTTAACAAGCTAATCTCTCTCATAACCACAAAAGCAAAGTCCTTAATGAAATATTAAAATACCAAATCCGACACTAAATGAAAAGGATAACACATCATGACAAAGTATGTTTTATTCCAAAAATGCAAGTTTGATTTAACATTTGAAAATCAATCAATATAATTCACCTCCTTGGCAAAATAAAAAGAAAAACCACATAGTTCTTTCAAGAAAGGTGAAAAAAAGGAAAGAGCACTGAATAAATTTCAACACCTGTTCATTCTAAAAAGTCTCAGTCAACTAGGAATATGAGAAAAATTTCTTAGTCAGACAAAAATGTCTACAAAAGAGCATGCTAATAATGTACTGAAAAATTTCCCTGAACCAGGAGCAAAACAAGAATGTCAACTCTCTTGATTTGTTTTAGATAATGTACTGGAGGTCTTGGCAAATACAAAAATCCAGAAAAAAGGGATTCTGGTTCTGGCAAAGATGGAGTAGCCCAGTTCTTATTAGGCATTGCCTCTCTCAACTAAAAACTCTGGACATAACACAACAGAAAAACACAGAAAGACTCGAAAAGTTGGAAAGAAGGAGGCAAAGTGCCTAGGGACCTTGGGACTTGAGAAATGGCAGGACAGTGAGTTCCCTGGCTTCCTTATTAGTTCCCATATATCCTAGCAGGCTGCTCTAGAAGGCTCCAACCCAAAACCTACAACAGGCACAGACAAAAAAGAAAAAATGCTCCAAGCAAAGACTGTTCCCCCTAGCCAAAGGACCAGAAATATGTGGGCTTACAGTAAAAATTGTTATTGGCAATACCTGACCTACTCTAGCCAAACACCAACAGAGAAATTGCACCACTCCATACAAGATTTCAGCAAGGCT